CCCCTCATCATGTTTGTTAGCACATGATCACTGAAGCAAAACTGATTGGCTCCTTGTGCTGCTTCTCCCTCACCCAGTCTGAGTTCTGCTGTACAGGGGCTGCAAGAGGCTGATACCAGGTCACATTCAGGTACATACACTGCTTGTAGATAGATAGATAGATAGATAGATAGAATATATGGTTATATGTGCCCAATGTTCAGCTTTAAGGAGAAATTGTGTGTGAAGTGATTTTGTAGTCGAGATCTGCAGATGGCAATCCTCCCGGTTGGAGCCGATTGACAGGCCGCAGTGGGTTGGAAATTCTTGCCATTGCTGCCTCTTTAATCCTCCCTGTGACGGGCTCTCGGATCCTTTGTGTTGGGGACGCAGAGGTCGTATTGAAGTGTTTACAATGATTTGTGTACTTTTCGTTATGACACAAAGCTCACTGTTGCAATAGTTTGGCACTTTGCGTTGTTTGCGGCCCGCTGCATTGTCCTCCGCAACAAAAAGCAGAGAAGAAAGGGGATTAGGTTTCTGTTTGCGCAGGGAGCAGACGCGGCCGGCGTACGGGGCGCATGGACTCGACTTGCCGTAGGATGTCGCCTGTCGGCGGTGAGGGCGAGCCCAGGCCGCCGTCGATGGAAGCCGTCCTGGTTTTCCTGCACATGATTGTTATGAAGATGGAGATGTTTATTTTATCTTCTCTTTGTCTTTGTGTACTGTAAATATTGAGGGATAATCTACTTTCCCTTTCTGCCTTACAGCTGCCTGCTCCGTCTTGAGGAGGCCACATACAATTGCAATTTGACTGTTGTCATTGGGGACTGAAAGTCATTGGAAACCCAAAATGTTACAGTTGTCACCAGAATAGGAGGTGAGAGGAAATCTTCCAATGGGAACTTAGAACGTACAGCAATGTTCTGGTGACAACTGTCTCAAAGTTTTATCAAACTCATTTTTTTTTGTTCGTAATGAATCCAGATCAAACAAATATACATCCGCCAGCAAAGTATTTTTTATATTTTCACCCAAGCACTTATATTCATCAAGTTTATGAACAGCTCCAACTCTCTCAGCTCAGCCTCCCTGAACTTTCTGTACAAGATCACAAGGAACAGAGCAGTCTCCAGCAACTGTTCATCTACTAGCTTAGAGGAGCGGATTACCTTACCATGCCTGTATGATTGTGGAGACTCACACAGTTACTAGCACACACAAGGGGGGCTCCATAGGAACCAAAGGAACCCCTAAAACAGGATATCAGGGCCAGTGCTCAGGGGACCAGTTGATTCTGCAGGAAACTAAAACTTTTAAACATCAAGAATCAGCGTTCATTGTAAGTGATTTAATCGGCATTTGAAATGGCTTAAAGAACTTTTGACTTTAATATCACTTTGAGACGGGATTCCATTCACTTCCTGTCCCAGAGACGCAACAGGAAGGCGAGGGGAATCCCCTCAAAGTGATATTAAAGTCAAAATGTTTTAAGCTATTTCAAATGCTGATGAAACCGCTTACAATGGACGCTGCTTCTTGCTGTTTCCCAAAAGGGACATAGACGGGGGTTCTAAACATTCCCTACTCCAGAGTTAGGTAACCTCGGCACTCCAGCTGTTGTGGAACTACAAGTCCCATGAGGCATTGCTGACAGTCACAGGCATGACTCCCAGAGGCAAAGGCATGATAGAATTTGTAGTTTCACCACAGCTAGAGTGCCGAGGTTGCCTCCCCCTGCCATACTCTATCCAAAGCAAACAAATAAAAATATTGGCTATATATACATGTAAAAATTCTAAATTGTCCACGTTTCTACCTTTTAGAACAGGAGTGGGCAAACGCCAGCCCTCCAGCTATTGAGGAACTACAAGTCCCATGAGGCATTGCAAGACTGACAGATGCAGAGACATGTTGGGATTTGTGGTTAAAGCACAGCTGGAGGGCCTGAGTTGTCCTCAGTTTTAGAGGCATAGGAATGCCTTAGGTGATACATAGACGGGTTGGATTGATTTGTGTAAAGTTCTATTTAGATGCAGGTCGTGATTTTTTGGGATCAGTACGTTATCACAAGCAAGTCAATGTATTCATTTCATTTTTGGATAAAGACCTTCCAGCTTTAAAAAAAGCGCCTGATCCGTGTTCTCTTAGCAAGCGAATGTGTGCTAATGCCATTGTCAGTATTTTCTGTCACTAGCCTCTCATCCCTCTAAATGTGCCCCGGACGCGGCGCGGGGCCCCAACATGTGCGCGTACACACCGGAGGAACGGTGCAAGCGGCGAGGTCGCTCCCGTAGGAGAAAGATGGACAACAAAAGCGACATGTAAAGCCTCCGATTTGTGCCTGAGATTACGTCTATTCAGGAGACCCCATTAGCAAAGGTCGCCATGAGACATTAAAATGAATCTCGAGCCGGCGCATTATCTCGCCT